GGGTATGACTCCCTAATGAATATTTATGAGTAATTAGCATATTCATGAGTTAAGGTGCCTCTTTTTCTATCCCAAATGATGACTGACCAGATCATCCTCTTAAGGTATTTCATGACCTCCACAAAAGGAGAGGGTGTCAAAGCCACAATGCAAGTGATAGTATAATGACATTGGGTCTTTTGAGGATGTTAGAGTACATGTTTGATTGCATGGTTCCTTAGCTTCTGACACAGTGGAAATAAACCAATAACAGCCTTAGCACTGTTTAACTGCAAAGGGGCAGTTGGATCATCAGGAGGGGTACAGCTACCAATATTCAACTAGTTTTTCTTGATTATTTCATACCTAATTTGTTGTTTAGGAGAAGGTCTGGGACAGTATGCTCCAGGGACTAGATAGAGGCTTTTTCTTATAATGCCATCTTTACCCACAGCTTACTCAGTAGTTTTGACTAGATGCATTAGAAACATATGTGAAATGGCAGCGATGCCTTGTGTGTGTTCCTTGGGAGGATGGGAATGTGTCTGTGAATGCCACTCGGAGCCTGCCAAGAAAGACCTAGACCAACTTTGTTTCTGTTTTTCTAGAGCCCTGTCTTCCCTTTTATCTACTCAGCTTGGCAAGCTCTCTTATTTACTTTCCTCGGCGTTCATGACCTTGCCATTTTAGTCCTAACATTTTAACATTCATTTTAACCCTAACATTTTATTCTACCATAACAATACTGTTCATTTCCAACCTCTCTATATTTGACATAACATCATTATGATTATTGGGTATAGTTTGTGGAATGTATTACTTAGCAGACCACTAGCTTCCACCAACTCTAAAGCTAAAAATGTTGTAAGAAAGCATCAGAAACATATAGAAGAAAAATTCCAGTCTACTGTAATCCCTGGCTTGAAGTGCTAATCAATGCCTTTGGTAACTGCATTGACATATGACTTTCCTTTGTTATGAAAATACAGAAGTTTATACTATCTCATTCACATCATTTGGGGGAACCCAATTGTGTGTTCCCTGTCCATGGGCATTCATATTTGGTTGGCCCATAATAAGCTATTTTATATTTCCCTGTAGTAAGAGCTGGTTTCTATCTGAACAGAGAGGCAAGGATCCTTTGATCCTATATATAGATAGACTGTGTGTGTGTGTATGTTTTTTATATATGTGTATATGTGTATATACATAGAATATATATGTATATATATACATGTGCATATATGTATATATATATACATATATGCATATATGTTCTATCAGTTTTGTTTCTCTAGAGAACTCTGACTAATACACTAGTCTTAAAGAAAGGGGGTCTCGGGGTCGAGGATTTAGCTCAGTGGCAGAGTGATTGCCTAGCACGTGAAAGGCCCTAGGTTCGGTCTTCAGCTCTGAAAAAAAAAGACAAAAAATAAGAAAGGGGGTCTCTGCTCATGCACAAACCATATTTTTCTATAGTCACTGTTACAATATCTTGTACAGCCTTTTTTATGTACTCACTACTTCAACATTGGCATTACTAAAATTCCATTCTTCGTTTTATGTTCTCCAAATGTGCCATGTGTTCTATATTTCCATGTGTTGTATCTGATATGTGACTCAAACATTTCTGGAACATTGTGGTAGAATCTTTTAAAATAAAACTAGAAAACACTATGGCTTTTTTTTTTATCTTGAAGAAGCTCTGAGATTGGTTTTAGAGACACATATGTACAAAATAAAAGCCACTATATCACAGCAGTATTCAGGAGATACTTTAGGGCATCTCTTGATGCTGCTATGTCCTGTGATTAAAGTCAATGGGAAAACTACAATAACCTAATCCAAGCAGGATGACAAAAGGGCACAGACCCTTCGATAATAAATCTATAGGTAGCTAGCTCCTCCAGGGGAAGAGCCAAGGGCTGCTGAGTTGTTTGCTGGGGTTGGTGGAAGTACACAATGGGCAGTGGTGAAGATATGTACAAAAAGATGGAGGAAATTCAGGAGAAAGGAAATTTAATATAATCAGAGGTAACAGGGAAGCTCTCTGAAGGAATTAAGACAAGAGGTAAATTTGAAACAATGAGTAGAACTCAGCCAGGTACACACAAGAAAGCATGACAACTATAAGTAATTTAGGTAAATGATGTGTATCTCTATGTGTATATGTGTGTGTGTGTGTGTGTGT